CTCTATCCCTCTTCTATCCGCCTCCCACTCTCTCCCTATTTATTTCAAAACCCCCTTCCCCTCCCCCTTTTCTGATGAAGGGTCTCGGCCCGAAACGTCAGCCTCTCTGCTCCTATGATGCTGCTTGGCCTGCTGTGTTCATCCAGCCCTGCACCTTGTTGACTCAAATTTTTGTGCTGTTTTGACAACATGCGAATTTCAGTGAGATAAGCAATTCAGAAAACCAAAATCTGAACTTCACCAAATGACTTAAGTTTTGATGTTGGTTTGACTAACATGCTTATTTCAGCGATTGAAGCACTTCAGAAGACAAAAATCTCAACGTCCACAAATGGCTTTATTTTTGATGCTGTTTTAACTAACATTCTTATTTCACTCAGATAATCACATCGGTCGACTAATATCTCAACTTCACCAAATTAGTTGGTTTTTGATGTTGGTTTGAATGACATGTTGATTTATTTGAGATAAGCACGTCAGAAGACCAAAATCTCAACTTCACCAAGTGACTCAACTTTTGCTGTTGTTTTGACTAACATGCATATTTGAGTCAGATTAGCACGTCTAAGGGCAAAAATCTCATCTTCACCAAATGACTTAATTTTTGATGCTCGTTTGATTAAAATGCTTTCTTCAACGAGTTAAGCACTTCAATAGACAGAAATCCGAACTTCGCCAAATGACTCAATTTTTGATGTTCTTTTGAGTAAAGTTCTTATTTCAGTTAGATAAGCATATGTGAAAACCAAAATCGCAACTTCACCAAAACAGTCAACTTTTGATGCTGGTATGACGTAAATGCTTATTTGAGTGAGACAAGCACATCAATAGTCAAAAATTTCAACTTCACCAAATGATTCAACTTTTGATGCTGGTTGGATTAAAACGCTTCTTTCAGCGATTTAAGCACTTCAGAAGGCTAAGATGTCAACTTCACCAAATGACTCAATTTTTGATGCTGGTTGGAATAAATTGCTTATTTCAGCGAGTTAAGCTCTTCGGTAGACTTAATCTGAACTTCACCAAATCACTCAAGATTTGATGTTGGTTTGACTAACACGCTTATTTCAGTGAGATAAGCACTTCAGAAATCAAAAATTTCAACTTCACCAAATGACTCAATTTTTGATGTTGTTTTGACTAACGTGCATATTTCAGCGAGATAAGCATATCAGAAGACTAAAATCTCACCTTCAC